GTATTGTTTGCCTAAGGAAGAAAACATGGTAGCAATCTTGTCTTGCAATGTTTACCGTCTGCAAGCTGTATATATTTAGGGCATCTTGCTAAAATATTACATGACAGGATATTTCAATAAGCATGTTTAAATGAATTCTAAGAAACCAGACAGAAAGGAAATATGCCTCTTTGCTTCCGAAACATTTATCTCACTGGGTGGAAAAGGGTAGAGTAAACCTTTGAGTGATAGATAGTCCAAGAGAAAAATGCACATTAATCTGTAGTTTAATGTGTTTTCTAAATGTCTTAATTGCTTTTAAAGTCATGTAAATAAATAACAGGCAAAGGATGTGAATTAATATCCCAAGAAAATGATTTTCCTGATACAAGGGCTCCTACTTCAAAGAATATTTATAAAGCACAGCAAACAATTCTCAACCAAGAATTACAAAATCTGCAGATAGCAAATCTGAATACACCATCCGCTAATACGGCAACATTCTGTTTTGTTTTCTGTGAGACTAATCATTGCTCCGAACATGTGTTCTGTACCATGATTTTCCCCTTTCTGGTGCAGAAGAAGAAACTCAGAGCTTTGAACGTGGTAGGAAAGCATGATACCACCACTCTACATTTGTACCTTCCATGTCTTTCTCTATTCTTGTGTAAAAAATGTTAGTTATGACATACAAAACTAATTTCATAGCTTGCTAATGAGTTGGGACCAAAAGTTTGGAGAAAACACCCTAGACCCCGAGCAATAATGGAACTGAATAAGCACATTCATGCAAACTTTCAAGAGTTCCAAAGCTAAGTCCAAACCTCCCTGCCCCCTTGCTTTGTCCTCCAGACTTCCCTAAGCATTCCTTCCCTCCCTGCAATATTGTTAGACCTAGTGTTTTATAGGTTGAAAGATGGAAAGGCAATTTTTTAAAAAAGACTTAATTTTTAGGACGACTTTACCTGAATATCCCATATACTCATAGCTTCCCCACTAACAGTGTGTCACATCAGAGTGGATATGAGCTATGACAGATGTGTCGTTACCACCAAAGCCCAGAGTTTGCATCAGGGTCACTCTTTGTGTCTAAGAGTCTATGGGTCTGAACAGACATATGGCCATCCACCCATTATCACAGTCCTCTGCCTCCTCATCTGTGTTCCCCAACCCTGAGCATCACTGAGCTTTTTACTGTCTCCACGGTCTTGTCAGTAAACATGCTCAACCTTAGGAATAGAGACAATGTCTTAGGGAATCCATAAGCTGGTAAGGATGAAATAAACACTTTCTTCCCCAGGTTACTTCTGCTCATCACAGTAATAGAATCCCCAACTGTGACAGAAGTTAGTACGTACCAGGTTTGGGGGATATTGCTGTGACAGATCTGTGCATGGTTTTGGGAGGGTTGGGGAAGGACTTGGTACTTTGGGCCACTGAGTGTTCAGAGTTTAATGAGCTATTGTAGACCTTGGAATACAATGCTGAGAGCAGTGCAGATGATGGAGGTCTGGCTTTCTTTCTTTCTTTCTTTTCTTTTCTTTTTTTTTTTTAAAGATTTATTTATTTATTTTGTATACAGCATGTATGACTACAGGTCAGAAGAGGACACCAGATCTCATTACAGATGCTTGTGAGCCAGCATGTGGTTGCTAGGAATTGAACTCAGGACCTCTGGAAGAGCAGTCAGTGAGTGCTCTTAACCTCTGAGCCATCTCTCCAGCCCCGGAGGGGGTGGGGTCTGGTTTTTAAAGTTTCAGAGGAAAGTTTGAGAGTTCCTTAAAGCAAAACTAGGCTCTCTAGAACCCTTGGGAATAGGGTTGTTTACCTTATATCAGCCTGCTGTGGTGATTCCCCTGCCTCTGACTCTCAAGTAGTGGGTTCTAACTGGTGGGCTGCCACTACTACACGTGGGTATTGCAGATCTGAACTCTTCATGCTTGTATGGAATGCTTTACTCACTGATTTATTTCCCTGTCTCCCATTTATTTATTTATAATTTATTTGTAATTTATCTATTTATGAGAGTCTCCTGTAATTCAGAACTTGTTATGTAGCCAATGTAACAGAAGATGACCTTGAACTACAGATGCTCTTGCCTCCTCTTCCCAGTTTGTGTTATGTGCATCTATGTATTTAGTGTGTGTGTGTGTGTGTGTGTGTGTCTGGGTCAGTGTGTCTGTAAGTGCCTCAATGATGGAGGACAATGCTTGGAGTTTGGTCCTCTTCTTCTAGCACACAGGTCCCAGGGATGGAACTCAGGTCATCTGCCTTGGTAGTGGCCACCTTCCCCTGCTGAACCACCTGGCCATCCCTTCATGTGTTTTCATTACTGAATTGTATTTATTAGTAGCAGTGTGGCCAGGTTTGTGCCTGCCATGGCACTCATGTGGAGTTGGTTCTCTCCTTCCGTCTTGGGTTCCAGGGGTGGAAGGCACCAGGCTGGAGCAGTTTTTACTCACGGAATCGGCTCACCTTCCCAAAAGGAGCTGGGGATGACAGGAAACTCTCACTGTGTGGCCTAGGCTGCTTTCCAACATAGGATTTATAGGAGAGTGCCACCACACTTGGCCTAGTGATTTTTTTTTTTAAATTCTTTTTTCTTTTTGAGAATTTCATGCATGCATGTCACGTGTTTTGATCAAACCTATATCCCAATCCCTCCCTTCACTTCTTCCCTTATCCACCCCCCACCTCCACTTTCCCCTCCTGAATTCACACATTGTTTTAAAGATTTATTTTATTATTTTTTCAAGGTCTGATCATTTATTTGATACTCTTAAAGACTTATTTTTGACTGGACCCAGAGTTAAAAGTAGAAGTTCTCAGCAAGGACAGTTTGTCTCTTGGCGATCTGTTCCTGGCATTTTTCTTTGGTTTCCTTTATTCTCTTGGCCAAAAGTTTAGTATATTCTGTATCATTTTTCTTGGTGCATTGGTTCTTCAGAGCAATCGTGTCTCGCTCAACTGGAGGGCTTTGGCCCTGGGTCCCACCCCCCACAAGAGAGGGTTTCTCTGGGGTGGGGTGGTGGTGGCAGTGGTGGCGGTGGGCTGTTTCCACACCTATTTCAGGAATGTGACCCACCTCCCAACTAGGACTAAACTGGATATTGATGCCGTTAACCTTTCCGCGGGCAAAATGACCTAGTGATGGTCGCCCATGTGGGAAAGGGGATGTGCTCTGATTTGCCATTTCCTTCAACACCACAGAGAAAACTGTAATTTGTGCTTTCTTTTGCTTTGGTGAGCTAAGGTCGTAGTCTTCTAAGGGAGGCGGTATCTTTTTGAGGGAAGAGCTGGAATTCATAGGAGGGTCTGGGCTTATCAAGTGAGCCAGTGAACGCTTGGTGGGTTAGGTGACTTTATAGATTATAATGTATACCTATTTTAGAATGGGGTACATATTAAGCTCGCAAAGATTCCTCCCAAGAATCTTCGACAGTACTCACACTGCACTGCTAGTCTACGCCCTGGGAGCAGAGCTCTTGTTTGTTTTGTGGGTTTGAAGACAGTCTCACACAGTCCAGCTGGCCTTGAAATGACTGTAAGGGAGCTCACTCCAGATGGTCCATCTCCTCCTCTTGAGTGCTGCGATTCCTGGAATGCTTTGCTGCACCTGAATAATCATGGATTGTTTAACTGCTGTTTTTGTTAGTATACAAAGCGTCGGATTTCACTCTGATGTGCCCATACACTATGTCTTTGCACTTTGTTCTTATTGTCCCTCCCCTGTTTCCCTTCTCTTGTTTGCCCGTCCCTCCCCCAGATAACCCTCCCTTCTGCTATAGTTTTGATTTTTGTTTCCTTGACACTTCATTGCATTAAACTTTTTCCAAAGATTTATTTTTATTTTATTTTTTAAAAAGACATTTATTTTGATAGGCGGTTGTGGCACATGACTTCATTCCCCGCACTTGGGAGGCAGAGGCAGGCAGATCTCTGAGTTGGAGGCCAGCCTAGTCTATAGAGCATGTTTCAGCACAGTCAGGGCTGGCGCGGGAGGAAAAAGACATTTGTTTCATTCTTTGAAATTTTGCCTATGTGAATGTGTGTCTCTGTGGTGTGCATTTGTCTGTGTGAGTGCAAAGTGCCCTTGGGAGGCTAGAGGTGCTGGATTCCTTGGAGCTGGAGTTATGGACAGTTAGGAACCACCTGATGTGCTGGGAACGGAACAGGGCAAGAGGAGTGAGCTCACTCTTATGTGCTTTGTGCCATCTCTCTCCAGTACCTCTATCGCCTCCCCCCTTTTTTTGTTTACATTTCTTTGATTTATTATTTTTCAAAATGTGTTTAAATATTTCCCTGCATGTATATCTGTGTACCATGCCCATGTCTGGTGCCCACAGAGACTAGAAGAGGGTTTTGGGATCCCATTGTACTGAAGTTACAGATGGTTGTGAGTTACCGTATGGGTGCTGGGAATCGAATCTGCCTCCTCTGTAAAAGCAGCAGGTGCTCTTAACTGCTGAGTCATCTCTCCAGCTGGGTGGTGAGGGGGGTGGGAGGGTGGGGGATGTGGGGGTGGGGGTTGTTTTCTGACACAGGGTCTACTCTGCGGTTCAAACTATCTTGTTGCTGGGTGTCCTCTGCTAGAGCAGGAAGCACTGTGAATCACTGAGTCATCTTCCCAACACTACAGATTTTAAAAATGAACTATTTTTTTTGTGCTTGCGTGCATGCGTGCAAGCGTGTGTGTGTGTGTGTGTGTGTGTGTGTGTGTGTGTGTGTGTTTGTGTGTGTGCACCATGGTGTGCATGTGGGGTTCAGAAGATCATTTGTTGGAGTCAGTCCCCTCTTTTTAACATGTGGGTCCTGAGTATTGAACTTAGATCATTGGGCTTGGTGGCGAGTGCCCTCAGCTGATTTTGTCTGATATTTGCACAGCTCTGTCTGTTGTCTGTAAGCTTTGGTCGGTGTGGAATATCTTATGTGGAATAGCTTCTCCGCGGCTTTACTTCCGGTCTCCACTGCTTTAGTTCCGGTCTCTACTGCTTTAGTTCCGGTCTCTGTGTGCCCTTGAATGGGGAAGGGAGCTGAGCAGGCTGGTGTCGTGTTGGTAATCCCAGCATTTGAGAAGTGGAGGAGGATTGAGAACAGCTTGAATTACAGAGTGAGAGAGAATGTGTCTCCAGCAAACAGAAGAACAAAGGTGGAGGTTTTTCAGTTCATTGAGCCCCCCCCCCCCCCCCCCCCCCCCGTCTTCTGATTGGATAACTGAATCCATTTACAGTATTGCACTTAGTCAGAGTAGGGGGTTATTCAAATTTTATCCACTTGATCTATATAGCTATTATTATTATTAGTTTTTTTTTTATAAAGATTTATTTATGTTATGTATGTAAATGAGTGCTCTATTGGCAAGTACGACTTTATGCCAGAAGAGGGCATCAGATTCCACCAGAGATGGTTGTGAGCCACCATGTGGTTGCTGGGAATTGAACTCGGGATCTCCAGAAGAGCAGCCAGTGCTCTTAAGCTTTTTTTTTTTGCTGGTCATGTTCGGTTCTATCCTAGGTCTCTGGGCTGTCCAGCCTCTGGTTCCTAGCCCTCCAGGCAGTGTCAGTCATGAGCTCTCTCTTGTGACTTGGGTCTCAAGTTGGACCAGTCATGGCTTGGCCACTCCCTCAAGTTCTGAGCCACCTTTACCCCAGAATGTCTTGCAGGCTGGACAAAGTGTAGGTTGAAGGTTTGGTGGCTGGGTTGGTGTCCCAGTCCCTCTACTGGAAGTCTTGCCTGGTTACAGAACATGGCCAGTTCCGTATTCCCTCCTACTAGGAGTCTTTGCTAGGGTCAACCTCGTAGATTCCTGGGAGGGGAGTTTCCATTGTACTATTTTCTTTATTGTTTGTGTGTGTGTGTGTGTGTGTGTATGTGTGTGTGTGTGTGTGTGTGTGTGTGTGTGTGTGTGTACATACACACATTTAGGAGTTCAGTTTCCAAATACCTGGGAATTTCCTACATGTACTTTTGGTTTTTAATTTCTTCCCCAATCCTTGGCATTGATACCAGGGCCTCATTCACATTAAACACTGGTTCTTGCTGCCTGGTCCTGATTTCTAAGTTAAATTTGCCTGTGGTCACTCTTTAAGGCTTAAATACCTTCCGATGTAGTCTGTCATAATAGCCCTTGTAAAATAATGTGTATTCTTCCTGTTGTTCGGTGTTCCATAATGTTCAGGTTGGTTGCCAGTGTTTTTCAAGTCTTTGGTGTATTTTCTTACTTTTCATCAAGCTATTTTATAAGTTTTGTAGGGGATATTGAAATCTGACTGAAATTGTGCATTTATTTACCTAGAATTCAATCAGGTTTTCTATTATCCATATTGAAATTTAGTTATTTGGTTTATAACCATTTAGGGCTTTTATGCCATTTTGATGAGTTGACACTTTCATGGTTTTTAAGATTTTGTCTTTATTTATGTGTATTGGTATTTATCTGCATGCTGCATGTGTGTATTTATTCACACCACATTTGTGTTTGGTGCCTGTGGAGGCCTGGTCAAATTCTCTGGAACTGGAATTAAAGTGTTGTGAGACACTATGAGGGAGCTGGGAACTGAACCTGGGTGCTCTGCAAGAGCAGAAGTGCTCTTAACTCTGGAGCCATCTCTCCAGCCCCAGAATTGACACCTTCCCCTTAACTTTTAAAAAATTTACTTAAAAATTCGGTGTATGTGTGAGTGTCTGTGCACACGAATGTGGGACCCTTAGGGGCCAGAAGAGGGCACCAGTCCTTTGGACCTGGAGTTTCAGGCAGCTGTGAGCCATCTGACATGGATTCTGGGAACCTAACTCAGGTGCTGGGGAACAGCAAACAAGAGCTTTACATTGCTAAGCTGTGTCTCCAATCCTTAACCTTTTTTTATATATATAAAATAAAATTTTCTAATATAAATGTAACATAAAAATTGTCTTTGGTGATAATCTTTGCTATTAAATCTACTTTGACATTAATATTCAGTTTCCTTTTGATAGTTTTAACAAGGTATAACTTTTTCATTTTTCAACTTTTGACATAAATTTTTAAACAATATTTATTTATTTTATGGATATGAGTGCTCTAGCTGCATGTACAACTTTATGTCAGAAAAGAATATCAGATCCCACTATAGATAGTTGTGAGCCACCATGTGGTTTCTGGGAATAGAACTCAGGACCTCTGGAAGAGCAGCCAGTGCTCTTTAACCACTGAGCCATCTGTCTAGGCCCTAAAAAATGATTAATTTACTTTTATTTTATGTGTATGGGTGTTTTGCCTGCATGTATGCCTGTGCACCGTGTGTGTTCAGTGTCCGTGGAGGCCAAAAGAGGGCACTGGATCCTCTGTAACTGGAATATCGATGGCTGTGAGCCATCAGGTGGGTGCTGGCAGCTGAACTCAGGTCCTCTACCGGAGCAGCCAATGCTCTTAACTGCTGAGCCATCTCTCCAGGCCCACGGGTTCTATTTTTAGCTTCACATCTATAGTGGACCTCTTGCTTTCATTTTTGCTTGTTTGTTTGTCTGAGTCAGGGTGGCACAATATAGTCCAGGTGGGCCTGGAGCTCAAACAGCCTTCCTGCCTGGACCCTGGGCCCTGGGCTACAAGTAGGAGTCACAGACCCCACTGGGGTCTTTCCTTTCCTTTTTCACACACACACACACACACACACACACACACACACACACACACACACACACACATATATACATGTTACATGTATATATATATTATATATGTTATGTATACATATATGAGTGTGTGTGTGTGTGTGTGTGTGTGTGTGTGTATGTGTGTGAACATGGTACAAGCTAGAGTTATCTCAGAAAAGGAACCTCAATTGAGAAAATGCCTCCATCGGGTCCCCTGTAAGCAGGTCTGTAGTGCATTTCCTTGATTCGTGATTGATGTGGGTGGTGCCAACCTGGGCAGGTAGTCCTTAGTTGTGTATGAAAGCAGCTGAACAAGCCAGGAAGCAGCACTTCTCTGAAGCCTCTGCTTTAGTTCCTGCTGTGGCTTCTCTTAGCAATGGACTGCAAGCTGTAAGCCAAGTAAGCTCTTTCCTCCCCAAGTCACTTCTCTTTGTGGTGTTTTTATCACAGCAACAGGAACCAAGCTAAGACTTGTTGTTCTCATCTCTTTTCTCTCCTTCTTTGAGTATTATAATAATAATAATTATTATTATTATTAGTAGTAGTTGTGTGTGCATATATATGTGTGAGCTCACATGTCACAGTGGGTATGTAATTGATGAACAACTTGTAGGAGTCAGTTCTCTCCTACCATGTGGGTTCCAGGGATTGAACCCTCCTGCTTTGGAGGTAAGCATCCTCACCTGCTGAGCTGTCTCTCTGGCCCTTCTTTTTTTTTTTTTCTTGCTTCGGATTGGCAATCTCTGACTTTTAATTACTGGTGTTTATACACTTTATTTAATGTGAATTTTTTGGCTGTGGTACGTTAAATTGGTCATTATGTTACTCGTTATATCTTTCTTTGTTTCCTTGAATGCTCTTTCAAAAAATAGTTTAACATTTGTTTATTTGTGCATATGTATGGGGCACATGCACTATAGCATGTATGTGGAGGTCAGAGGTCAAATGTCAGGCGTCAGTTCTCTCTCTTTGTCGTGTGACTCCCAGGAACTGAACTCGTATCATCAGGCTTGGCAATAACCAGCTTTTTACCCAAGGAGTCATCTTGCTGACCTATGGGGGAGCAGCCCCCACTTTTACGACCAAGGTACTCTTGCGCAGGGAGAAGTGAGAAATATTTAGATAGAAAGAGATGCCTAGATGACTAGAGGAAAGACAGAAACACAGGATAGCCTTGGGAGGGCCTGGGTCAAAACCCACCAGTCTAGAACTTTATTCAAAAGGGCTTTTTATGTCAATGCCAAGGGGCGAGGCCAAAGACCTCCCCCTTGCTAGATACAACCAAGTGTAGACCCTTCCAAACACCTGGTACCCAGGCCTGTGGTCCAGTCATCCTCTTATGCAGCCCTACTGGTAAAGCCACTAGGAAAACTTGGTGGGCTCTCACACTGACCTTAAGTGCTGATAGATTTTATCTATCTATCTATCTATCTATCTATCTATCTATCTATCTATCTATCTATCTATCTATCTATCTATCTATCTATCTATCTTCTTTGATGTTGGAGATTGAGGCCAGGGGCTTGCACATACTTTCTTAGATGCACTGAGCTCTTGTTTACGCTGACTTTGAACTTACTGTGTAGCTCAGGCTGGTCTTGAACTTGAGATCCTTATTTTTCTTGCATTCAATTGACTTGAGCACTTTTTTTTTTTTTTTTTTAAAGAAGAGTCTCACTATGTTGTCCAGGCTGGCCTCCAACTTGTGACCTGTACTGAAATGTGATTTTAATTGTATGTTAATAAATAAAATTGCCCGGGGGTCAGAGCTATTAGAGCCATAGAAAGAGCATGGCGGTGGTGGCGCACGCCTTTAATCCCATAGATCTCTGTGTGTTCAGGGATACAGCCAGCATTGGAGACATACGCCTTTAAGACCTGGAGGGCTATACTTACAGGCAGTGACGAGGCAGTCATGTGTTTGGGTTTACAACCAATGAGAAGGCAGAACAGAAAGACTATTTAAAGATATACACACAGGAAGTAGGTCTCTTTCGGAGAGCTAGGAGCACTGCAGGAGGAAGGGTAAGATTTGAGCTCTGAGCTCTGACCTCTTGACTTTCTCTTTTACATTGGTTCTGTGTTTCTTATTTAATAAGATGGTTGGTTACATCTACAGTGACCCTCATCTCTAACCCTCATGCTTTGTTACTAACCCTGGCTCCAGAATGAGTATGTCTTATCATTACAGTTTAGGTCTTTTGTTTGTTGGCCTAACTTGTTATAGCTTTATTACTGTTATTGCTTTAGAGTTTACTTTAGAATTTATAGTATAGATGTTTATCATATTTTATACTCAAGTGATGCTACAGCACTACTTTCCACTAGCACACATATTATTCCTTTCAATATTTTTGTTGTTGTTTGAGACAGGGTCTTATTATGTAGCCTTGGCTTGCCTGGAAGTCATTATGAAGACAAAGCTGGTCTCGAACTCACAGATATCCACCTGCCTCTGCCTTCCAAGTGCTAGGATTAAAGGCATGTGCCACTAGACTGTTTTTGAAGTCAGGATTC